TAGCAGTATATTATATTACTTATCTATATTTTTATTTAAATTTCCCAACAACTCTGCTATAATACTTACATTACATATGAGTAAATGAAGCTCAGAAAAATTACTCACCTTGCCCAAATGACCAAACGAGAGTTGTGACTCAAAACCAGATTACTTAAACTCCAAAATCCAAGATCTTAAGTACCATGCTGCAATGCCTCAAAAGGAGAATTCAATCATACAGTTAGGAGAAGAGTGACAGCATATTTTTTAAAACTTCATTTACCTTCAGGGGACGCAGAGCACCACAAAATTTTGTCCACCAGCTGTTTTCAATGAATTCTAAATGTCTCTCTCTTTTCTTAAGTGTTCTTAACCTTTCTTCAAATTGTTTTAAGGCACGTTTATCCCTTGCTGGCAAAGGTCGACCATCTTTGCTCTGCAAAATTATAGAACAAAATAAAAGTTTTTACCATTAAAGTCTTAATAAAGTATCCACCATATTTAGCGGATCAGGCAACAAAACTTTTTTAGCTTGGACATTCCTTAGGCAAAGTCACAAAGTGAAAAAAACTGACAACTGCAATGTGACAATAAATATAGCTAAACCAAGATCAGCATCAAAATGTACACACGTGTATGTGTGTACATTTAATACTGTCTTCCTCTTCATCCCTGCTTTCCAAATATATGGTAAAGCTATATGGAGAGAGAGAAATATTTGGAAAAATATTCCACAAAAAAGGTGGTTGTTTATAAGAAGTGTTAATTACCATGTATTTTGTTCAGGTATTCTCCCTCCCCTCCAAACTCCTATAATTTATTTCAATATAGTTGGCCCTGCTTCCTCCCTCTCTTTAGTCAAGTGGTTGTGTTACTTGAACTTTTCAGGCTGATTTAAATACCAGCAGAGTGATGCTCTGCAACACAGGTATACAACACAAGTATAAGTGGCATGTAGAAGTTTTTATAACAATTGCTAAGAATTGGAACTTCCCTATTTTCTAAGTACATTTGGAAATGAGTCATGCTTTCTTTGCCCAACCTATCTGACAGATAATTTCCATCAATTCTTATGCGATGCTTTTTGTAACCATGAGCAGTATCTTTTTCACGATGTCTCACAGGTACACTGTCCCACTTGAACTCCCTTGCCCCCAAGTGTCTCCAATTGGGTATAATAATAAGGCAACTGCTAAATACAAAAAAAGGTGAAATATAAATTTGTTTGCTTTTACTGTAAGGAACAAGAAAAATATTTACACAGGACTACATTTAAAAATGCAAAGATATTAGAATGTCTTTAACAGTCCTATTAAGGATTAAATGAGGTTTTAGCAGATGCATAGCATATTGCTGTCTGCATATCCTAGTGTAGCCTCAATTTGAAATCATAGATATAATGAAGATATCCATAGACCTTTTAATAAAAATATTTACACAATTATAATAATCTCTTTACATATTTGTATCACCATGCTCTTCTAGAACCAACCATCCTCTTCCATACCTTAACTTACTGCTTCTCAAATTTTATCATGCATAAGAATCACCAGAAAAGTTTGTTAAACAAAAATTTCTAGGCTCTACCCCTAGAGAATATGATTTAGTAGGTCTTGAGTGGGGCCTAGAATTCACATTTCTACCAAATTCCCAGGAGATGCTGATGCTACTATCCCAGAGACCACACACTTCATATAAACTGGACTATAATTATCTTCACTCCTTTAACTACATTGGGTATTATCACACTACATTCCAGAAAAGGGAAATTTACAGAAAGGTATTTTCTGAAGGTCAGAGGAATAAAATGAACACTCCCTTCTGGAAGACAGATCCAGGCAATAGTACTTCAAGTGTGTGGTATGAGAAGGGTTCAGCACTTTGTATCTTAACCATAAAAATTTTTCTCAAAACTTCCATTATATTAATAATATCAAAAGGATACCAACAATGAGGTAATTTTGTTTCAATGCTGGTTTTCACTATTTCAGAAAAAAAAAAGTTGGTAAACTAATTTAAGAATCCAAACCCAAGTTATCTACCTATTTGGTGAATGCTTCAGTGGAATGATGGATTAATGTCCATTCTGCA